AAGAATGGCTACTGGTTAGAATATTAACCAATTAGCATGTTAAACTAACTAGCATAAGTCGACAAACACAGGCAAGGTCAACTTCCGAGAGGTATTTCTCGGTAACGGTACCAAATATACATTTCTGTCCAAAGATCATCTAATCGCATTTTGGACAAAATTGGACAAAATATCTAGGAGGAATAACAAAAAACAAAATAAAGGAAAATTAAAAATGAGACATCGTCAGAATCGGCATAAGCCAAAGAATGTATTGACATAAAAAAAGTTACGTTTGGACAATGTTTTCAAACATTAAAAGCATTTTTGCAAAAATCCTTATAACTCTGGAACACTAGGTGTCGCTGTGTTCAAACTTCTCAGGTACCTCCGGGACATGATGTTGATGATCCCTACCAATTTTTGTGCTGATCTGTCAAATTGTTCAAACGATATTGCAATTCATAACAAATTTCAAAATGGCGGCCCGATGGTTCGTCCGATCCTGGCAAAACTTGTATCCACGGTATCAACATGATACAAGGAAACCATAGTTACCACGATTATCTGACAATCTGTTCAAAAGTTATGAGCAAAAATATCAATTTTTCAGATCTCATGACCTGTAGGTGGCGCTGTTCCCAAATTTGTCATGGACCCTCAAATCATGGTTCCAATGAAGTGTACCAATTTCTGTTATGAATGATCAAAGTTTGGTGATTGATCAAGGATGGCAAAAATTAGGTTTCATTTTTTCTAGATCAAAGGGTTCAAAACTTATAACCATTTCAGTATTGAATTTTTGAACTGGTGGTGGTGCTATACAGATGGACCTTGAGACCCCAAAGTTAGTAAGGGTTCTATTAAAAAACAAACAAAAAAAGTTACTAATTTTTTTTTTTTTTTAAGTACAATCAACTAGCTGTTTAAGTCATTTCAACTTAAATTACATTAAAAATATGAGTTGAATCTTGTATACAGTAACTTATTTAAAAAAGGTAAACATTGCTTAACTTATTTTGATGAGTTAATGTAAAAACATGTTGTCATGACTGATCATACCACTTTTTACAGTGTGAGAATCACCCCAATAAGTGTGCCAATTTTCATTATTTTCCTATGTTCTGTTCATAGGGCTGCCATAGATTCCCATTCGGGAAAAATAACAATAAGAATACCTTTTTACCTGTTTACTATTAGGTGTTAAATTGGTATGAAGTCTGTCTTGTTGGTAGGCTGATTGTTTTGTACATTGTAATTGATTATTGTTTTTTTTAGCCTAAGGCTTAAAATAATACACTGGTAAAATTATAAAATAATTTGAACTCAAATCAAGTATTTATCCATTTTATTTTTTGATGGGTAGAAAGATAATGTACAGTCAACCGGTCATTATCTAAAAAATAGAAGTGATCATTTTGTGAATGACCGGATAGCACATTATCCTGATATGTATAATATTAATATTTGATTCAAAAGCTCTCTTTTATTAGTGCTCCTATCTATTTCTGAATAGACACTTGACCTGGTGAAGAATCATTTCTTAAAATGCAGTGAACTCTAAGTAATTGGGCTACTTTAACACTTGCCGCGTTTGGTAGTTTTGGGCAAGTTTTGAGTATCAATTAGGAGGGTTTTGTTGTGAAAACCGGGAAACCCTGGTCACGTTTATTGACAGTGTACGATGATTTACGATTAGCCGTGTCGGAAATCCAACCACAGATTGGCATGTTGTTATCTCAGAAACAGGCTCAGCCATCACATTGAATCAGGTAAACTGGTTATATATTTATGTTTCAGTATAATTACGCACGCTATACCAGGGGCGGTTCTAAACCCTTTTTAGGTGGGTTTCAGCCCCCCATCTGTCACCTTAGCCCCCCAAAACTATCTTAACGATCAGGCCAGTGCTGCTTCCTCGAGAAAGTTTTTCATTCTCACGTGTTTTAAGTCTTGTCAGTTTAAACATTAAAGTAATTTTAAGCCATTTAATGGGGGGGCGCATGTCCTAAAAGGTTGAAAACCCCTGCCATAGAGAATCCATTGCAATCAAGCAGTAAATCTAAAAAGAAATTGTGTAGGTCATTTCAAACACTCCTGCTATATTAAATGGGTCACAAAATTATAAAAATGATAAAAAAAATATCAAAAGGTACAAGTAGACAAGGTTCATAAGAGGCAAAAAGTCTTGAAGTATTGCTTCAATGATCTAAAAAGAGCTAATTACGCAAAGCTTAAAAGCTGAATGTCAAGTTTATGATTAATAGGGGAGACCGGGGCTAGTTGTCACACTTTTTCTTCAGCGAATACTTCTCTATTATTGAAAGTCAATTTCAAAGTCTTGGCTACCTTTTTCCTTGAACATTTCCACTGTCATTGCTTAAAAAAACATTACATATTTCTGTAATTGACTTTTGACTGAAAACCTCAGAGTTACGGAGATAAAGCCCTTGTGACGAGTGGAAGCTGGTTTGGGATAAAAGTGAAAATCAAGTGCAGGGACTAGCAGTGGAAAGTCATCCAGCAGTTCAAACCCTTTTTTTAATGATCTCTCCTGGTTCTGCGGAAAAAGGTAATTGGCTAAAATGTGGGGAGGAACTCGCCTGCTGGGAAAGAGTCTCTTTGCAGCTTTTAAATGGAAATGCTACTTGCTGTCACTCATACAAGCACACACATTTGAGTTAACACTCAAAAGTGAACGCTGATTTCCCCATATATACAGTGGGGTTCAAAAAGCTGGGATCACAGTGAAAATGCAAGTAAATATTACAGTTACATTAATAAAACTTTCAAAAATTCATATTAATGCTAACAATATAATTAGCAAGTGAACCCTCCCCCACCCCCACATGCTCAAGGCTGATTTATTTGATCAAAATTACAGTAAAAAAAAAACAATATTGTGAAATATTATTACAATAACTGTTTTCTATTTCAAAATATTTTAAAATATAATTTATTGCTGAAAGGGCAAAGCTGAATTCCAGCAGCCATTACTTCAGTCTTTAGTGTCACATGATCCTTCAGAAATCATTCTAATATGCTGATTTAGTGCTCAATTGTTAATAGTTATTGTTGGTGATCAATTATTATTAATAATGGTTCTTATTATCATCAGTGTTGAAAACTGTTTTTGCTGCTTAAAGGGGTCATATGATGCGATTTAAATTTTTCCTTTCTCTTTGGAGTGTTACAAGCTCTTGGTGCATAAAGATCTGTAAAGTTGCAAAGACTAAAGTCTCAAATCCAAAGAGATATTCTTTATAAAAGTTAAGAGTCAGCCACGCCTACCTAAAACGGCTCGTTCTAACACACAATGTTCTTTTTAGCAGCATCATATGACCCCTTTAAATGTTTCCTAGGTAACTTGCTTTTCAGGATGCTTTGATGAATAGAAAGTTAAAAAGAACAGCATTTATTTGAAATACAAATATTTCATAACAATATATATGTCTTTACTGTCACTTTTGATCAGTTGAAATCATTCTTGCTGAATAAAAGTAATAATTTCATTTTTTTTTTAAATCTTACTTTAAAAACTGTTGATTCATAGTGTATCACAATTTCCACAAAAATAAGCAAAAAACACCGTTTTCAACATTGATAATGTTTTCTGAGCACAAAATATACTAGAATATATCTATAAAGCACATTAGAATGATTTCTGAAAAATCACGTGACACTGAAGACTAATGGCTGCTAAAACATTCAGCTTCACCATCAGAGGAAACATTATTTTTTGATTATATAAAAGCAGCCTTTGTGAGCATAAGAGGCTTTTTTCAAAAACATTAAAATAGCTTAATTATTTCAAACTTTTGGCCATGTAAACCTTTCAAAAGTGATCTCAGACCAGAGCCCACTGTATCTGTATCTTGGAAAAGGAAGCTCTAGTTAAATAACAACTTCAGGCAATTTTCCATTGATTCCCTCTTTGATTTCCCATTTCTGCAGCTTTCTCCTAACCCAGGCTTTCTCACTTCTACTCTTTTAAAACACTCCCACTACAACACCACTCTCTCTTACTTACGTATTTAAAAGATTATCCTGTGCTGTACTCTTTTACACCTACATTTCAGTACTAGCTGGTAACATGGCCAACGTTGAAGCGTTGAATTACTGCACTTATGTTATCTCTTTATGAACTGCGTGCATTGTAGCATTCCTTTTGTAGATTGCACTAAATAAAAAGAACTACCAAATGAATATGTTACTCACTGTCAAATGCACTCCTGCATCCTTAATAATAAATGTCATAAAACAATTAAAATTGATACAGCATTTTATCCATGCTACAATATACACAGATTTAACATGAAACTTAAAAAAACAAAAACAAAAAAAAAACAATGAGGCACTTTAGGCTGTGCTATATTGTGAATATAGTCACAACAAAAATGTTTATAGTGACTGTTGTGCATTTATTGTAAAATTAAAAAATAATATGAAAAGGAATGTGAAGACCGGAAAAACATAAATACAAAAAAGTCAAAAACCTAGATTTGCATTGTGGTTTAAAGAAAAATGTTAAACTTAAAACTTGAAAATTTTAATTTAATCTAAACAATAATAGTAATGTGTAATAATAAATATTATACAATACCATTATTGTAAGAAAGAAATAATAAAATGCAGCACTTTCCAATAATAAAAATATAACTCGTCAGAAAAATATGTGCTGAGCAAAACAGCAGGTGGTAATTTTTCAGGGCTTTAGAGAGAGAATCTGAGCAAGTGCTGCTCTTTAAAGAGGCAATTTCACCATTATTAATGCTCCTTCTAAGTGAAACTCTTCATTTGATGGAGCAGACGGCAAATTTAAATCCATAAACGAACTCTGAGATGAGCCATGGGAATCTTAAAAGGTTTGCTGTGTCACTCACATTAGCACTTTTTGTCTGATATTTTGCATGGCAAGAGCACATGCATCAGAATCCAGCTTTATATTCATGAGACACACAATCTGAAATCAAAGCCTTAAGTATGCTCTGATGTAGGTGTTCTTTTGTTCATTCTTTTTGCCTGAAGTCCTTCAATCATTTCAATCACCTTCTCTGCAATGGAGCACTCTATTTTTAAAGTCCTGCAGACGGTCGCTGGCTATTGCCTCCCGCAGCGCTTTGAAGAAGCCAAGATAATGCGCCATGTTGTGTAGCATGAGTAAAACACCGCCGAGCAGCTCGCTGGTCACCAGTAAATGATGAACATACGCTCTCATATGCTTTTTACAGCAGTAGCAGCCACAGCCCTCAACAAGTGGACTGAAATCATCTTGATACCTGAAAGTCAAACACAATGTTATGAGGCTAATTGTCACACCAGGGTATCTAGCTGTTAAAGGGAATTAAATTTAAGGACTTTTAAGTGTCTTTAATGCAAAAAATAAAAATAATTCTAAGGACAAGTCTGTAATGCAACAACATATATCAAAAAAATAAGAATTATTGAAATAAAAGAAAACATATATTAATATATAAATAATAAATATTAAACAAATATAATAAATATTTAACAAATATAATATATAATGAAATATATAACTAAATATATTAATATTTAAATAATAATAAAAAGGAAAAAGGTATTAAAAGGGAAACATATCTTCAAACAATGCAATGTGATCTTTATTTTGGTGATTATAGCCGGAAGTTTTTTTGTTTTTTTTTATAGGAACAATAATATGGAGCTAACAGCAACTGTTTCAAAGTAGGTTTAAAAATATTTCATGCAAA